GCTGTTAATCTGGTGCCCAGCTCCATGTGTTCTTTTCCCTCAGAGGTGCTTGTGAGGTGGGGGTTCTAGGCCAGTGGTATGGTGACAGGTTGCACATGCCGGGGAGAGGGTGGCAGGTCAGTGCCCAGCACATAGCATGTGCTAGACAGACTTGTACAGTCACTTGCCCACCTGTTGGGGACAGGTTGGGGGCAAGGGAAGAGTCTACGCCTCAGTCGCTCTAGCCTGAACAAGAGTGCAAGGTCAGCTCTGCCACTCTGGGACTCTGGGACCTTAGGCAAGCTCTTGAATCTCTCCATGCGTCAGTTTCCTCTTTGGTAAACTGAGATGATGTGTGATGAAGAGTCATGGTGCTGGGCGGCACCTGTGGCTCAGTGAGTAGGGCACTGGCCCCATATACTGAGGGTGGTGGGTTCAAACTGGGCCCCACCCAAATTGCAACAAAAAATAGCTGGGCATTGTGGCGGGCACCTGAATTGTCTCAGCTACTCGGGAGGCTGAGGCAAGAGACTTGGCTAAGCCCAAGAGCTGGAGGTTGCTGTGAGCTGTGATGCCATGGCACTGTACGAGGGTGATAAAGTGAAACTCTGTCTCTAAAATTAAAAAAAAAAAAAAGGAGTCATGGCCCTGTACCCTGCCAGGCAGCCTTATATTATATAGCCTCAGCACACTGCACACTGCAGGGCAGGCTGTCTTGCTACAGGTGTGCTGTGCCACAGGTCCCCTGCTCCTTGTAGAGGCCCAGCAAGAACCTTACGCAATCCCTGCCCCCTCCCCTCCCGTCCCCTGCCTGCCTGGGACCCATGATTGCTCAGCCAGATCCCCACCCTGTCAGCTCTCATCTAGGGCCTTAGACATAAATTAGCTAAGGGTTCCCATGAGACTAGACACTTTGTTCCTTAGCCATTGATTGGCTCTCTTTCTGTGGTGGACCTGGGAGACAGCAGGGAAATGCAGCGTCCACCATGCTCTGTGGTCAAGTCTGCAGGAGTCTAATTTATAATCCAGGTCAAGTTTGGTAGGCCAGTGCTTTCTGCAGTCTGCCAGTGCCCCAGAAACCTTTCCTGCTGCCTGCTCCCTCTCTGATCCATATGGGGGAAGGACTGGCTTGGTATAGGTGTGAGTAGAGAAGGAAGCTATAGAGTGGTAGAAAAAAATGGCACAGAGGAATGTGCATCCCATCCCCAGGGCACAGGCTGCATGCGGTATGGTGCCCAGGCAGGGAAGCAGAGGCTCTGTGACTCTCCACCATGGCCCTGGGGCTGCTTTCTCTCCTGTGGCCAGAAAGAAGTCTTTTGGGAGGCTGTATTTTCTTGATGTTCTTAGGAAAATGATGGCTACTCTGGAGATGCTTCTTCAAGCCAAGTTTTCCCATATCCTCCCCCTTCCCTGTACTGTTGTTACTTAAAGAGGTCCTCTGGACACGTCTCACAAGTCCCCAAGAAGCCCCTGAAGCAGCTTTGGGGTCCTGGCTCTAGGGTAACTTTACTCAGGTCTCCTATGCAACACAGACCAGGCCCCTGCTTTGATCTTACGGGGTCACTTGTCTGGAGGAGAGGTTTAGCCCAGCATTTAGGCAGGGGGCCTAGAGCAGGGGAAGAGTGCTGGATGGCCTGCCCCTGGATGGCCTGCCCCTGGATGGCCTGCCCCTGGATGGCCTGCCCCTGCTCTGGGCCTCAGGCCTGTGATCAGAGCAGATCCTCCCTGCACCCAATCCCTAGCTCCCATTGGCCCAAGTGGCCACATCTAATCCCCTCCAACTCTTTGGCACAGCTCTGGCTAACCTGCCTGTCTGGGCTCTTGCCTCCGTGAGTTCCCTAGGAGCCCCATAATATCCTTGTACAAAGCACAGCCCAGTTGTGTCACTAACTGTGGGAGCCTTCCTGACCTTCTCAGGCTGAGTCAAAGATAGGTCTCCTTTGTTCCCTATCTCTGTGGTCAGGTGGGCTCACCTGTGTATTAGAAGTGCAGGTGATGGTCTCCTGACCCGCTCCCCTTCTGTGAGTCCAACTATGGCGGATTAGACCAGGGATGGACGCCTGCCTGGGTTGAGCCTCTCAGATGTCCCTTGGGAGACACTTTAAACCAAGTGTCTCTGAGACCAAGTGCTCATGGCTGGGCCCTGATGCAGATTGCAAGCCCCTTGCCTGGCCCCTGGGCCACCTGGGCCTTTCTCTTCGAGCCCTGATGAGCTTGCTTGAGCTAATCTTGGATTTTATTCCTTTAACCAAGCACACCTGTACCAACCTTTGTCTTCACCACTCTGCGCTCAATCTCTCTGCAGCTGGCTCGGCGCCTGTGGCTCAAGTGGCTAAGGCGCCAGCCGCATACACCTAAGGTGGTGGGTTCGAATCCCCAGCCCGGGCCTGCCAAACACCAATGATGGCTGCAACCAAAAAATGGCCGGGCACTGTGGCAGGCACCTGTGGTCCCAGCTACTTGGGAGGCTGAGGCAGGAGACTCGCTTGAGCCCAGGAGTTGGAGGTTGCTGTGAGCGTGATGCCATGGCACTCTACCCAGGGGGATAGCTTGAGGCTCCATCTCAAAAAAAAAAAAAAATCTCTCTGCAGCTGACCTCCTCCTTGTCCCCTCTTGGGACCCTCCGTGGAGCAGGAGTATGTGGCCTTACAGGCACAGTTGGGTGCGGAGACTTAATGACCCCCCTCAGGAGACTTCTGGACATGGTAGCCTGGGTCCTGTAGGGCATTGCCAAGGACATTTGCGTGTGAACTATAACTTATTCCTCATGGGTGTTGGAGTTTAAACATTGAAGGCCAGGACTGTGTATTTTACCCTTCTCCAGGAGTGTGGAGCAGAGTGGTCACTATGCTCCTGATTGAGGGTGTGGCTCAAGGATCTGAGGACTTGCTGCCCAGGTGCCCTGCTCTGCCTGCTTCTCCTTCCCCCTCAGGTAGGGCAGGCAGGGGTTCTCTTAGCAGGGAAGAAGCCCCATCTGCTGACCAAGAATGGCTGTGGCCACTGGTGCTTGAGGCCCTAAAAGACTTATGAATGCTATAGGGAAAAATGTCCCAGCACACTGCTGCTGAGCCTCCCCCAGAGAGGAACTGTCAGCTTAGGGCTCTTCTCCCTGATTCAGTGGAGTTGACTCTGCTTCTGATCTGGCAAGTCAGATGAGTGTCCAAGCAGGTGTCTAGGCCCAAGGTAGGCTCTCAGCAAGAGAGCAGCAAGCCCTTCACACGTGCCTGCGGGGTCCTGCCCTTGGTCCACACAGCAGCCTGGGGTTGTGGCCCTCTGTGCAGACACAGGCGCAATGAAGGGAATGGTTCAGTACATTTACCCTGGCCAGGGGTGAGCAAAATAGGAGCAGGTAGGACGACAGGCTTATAGGCCAGGAAGTGAGAGGGTATTCAGAGTCGCTAGGATGTGAGGCAATGAAAGCCTAGGCCCAGAGCTAGGGAAGGCAAGCAAGGGACCTGAGGGGCAGGGAAGGACAGCTTGGCCAGGGAGGATGGGTGCTGTGGAAAGGGTAGAGGCCTGGTATTGTGTAGTCCTCGGTGCCAGGCCCACCTCTGCCTGCTGCCAGCTGCTCCCTTACAGTACAGCACTGCCTTGAGTGCTGAGGGTAAGATGGCCCATGTAGGATGCTTAGCCACCACTGTGAAGACCAAAGATGGGAGGGTGGCTGGCCAGGCAGCTGGAGGGGAAAGCCTGCTCTCTAGGCCAGTGAGATGGTCCCCAAGAACACTGAGGCATCCAGCTCATGCCCACCCTCTTACCCTGTGCTACAGTTCCCCAGGCCTGAATTCTACCAGGAGGCCCATTGCCAGAGAGCAGCCTCTTGAGCACTGTGGCCGGAGCCCAGCCCTCTGAGCCTGAGAAGCAGTGTCACAGGCACAGAGCACTGCTGCTCCCTGACAGACAAGTCAGGGCTACCATGTGGACTGGTGGGAGTTCCCCTGGGAGAAGGGGAGCTTGGTCAGGCAAGGGCCTCGGCAGTGCTTGCCTTGGGCATTCTGAGGCCATATTCCTAGCTGCACCGAGGAAGAGATCCTTTCCAGAAGTGCATCCCACAGCCTGATGATCAAAGCCCACGACCAGAGCCACCTAGAGCTGCGGGATCGATGTCTGCAGGAGCCGCTGCTCATTGCGGTTTGCCAGTGCAGCCAGGAAGGAGGAGGACGCCTGAGCAGCCCACACACTCACTTCCAACCTACTTCTTGTTTCCTCAGAACCTCCAGTGGGCCCGCGACGTGTTGCTAGGCAGCAGTATCCCATGGCAACAGCTGCAGCACATGCCGGCACAGGGGCTCTTCTGCGAGAGGAACAAGACCAATTTCTTCAATGTGAGTACTTTTGCCTTGTTGATTTCTGAGACTGCTTGGTGCCACTGCTTTTCACTGAAGGTGCACAAATTGACCTTTTGGGTGATGTTCCCAGGGCCACAGGTGTGTGGCCACGCAGGGTGGCACAGTTGAGAGTTTGCCAGGCTTGGGAATGCGGCTGTGGGGCTGTGTTTGCTGAGTGACTTCTGGCAAGTCGCTGCTCCCTCTTAGCTCCAGTTTGCTGGTCTGTGGGGAGAGGCATGGATGAGCTTAGTCTGTTCTATGAAGTCCCACGTGTTCCAAGGCACTCAGGCGGTGGTGAGAGGGGCTCCAGGCCTGTGGAGCAGCCCCCCTCACTGGTCTGTGGTCTTGGACACCAAGGACATTCTGACAAATCCAGGTTAACTGCTCAAAAAATAAAAAGTGTGGCAGTGCTGGGCTTTCAGTGCCCATTCAGCCCTGACATTCTGTGTTGGTTGGAGACCCACTCCTTGAGCAGGATATGGCCTGTCAGCCTTCCATCTCTGAGGCCTGCATGTGCCCCTCCTAGACACCCCACCTGGACCCAGCCCTCCCTCACTTGCCTCTATCTCTAAGTCCTCATCTGTTCTCCATCACCCCTCCCAGTATAGCCAGCTTCCAACTGGGTGGCTTTGGCAGGTCACAGCTCCTCTGAGCTCTGCTCTCTTCCATTTTTCCTAATTCCCTGTTGTAGAGACTCCAAAGGGTGGGGTTGGCCTGAGCAGGAGCTGAGGAGGGCAGGTCTCAGGTCTGGAGGGGTGTGACAAAGGCTGGTTCTCAGGACATGTGGGCAGGCAGGTCCCCACTAAGCCAGCCAGCAGATGGGAGTGTCTGGGGCTGTGGCTCCTGCTGTCTTCCAGGCTGGAACTTTTGGGGGCAGGGTGGGAGCTCCAAAGCCTAGGAGCCCTGCATCTGCTCACCCTCTCTCTGCTGGTATTTTATAGATGAGTGATAGGCACCATTGGTGATCAGTCTGTATAGCACTAAGGGATTTGCCATGAAAGAGAGGCACCCTCCCACCCTCATGCCTAGGCAGCCACCCTGTCCTTCAGAGGACATTACACTGTCCATCTACAAACCAGTGTAGATGGACCAGTGTCCATACTACAAACCAGTATGGACATGTGCACAGAGGGCAGAAGTACACACGCTTCCACCCCTTGTCTGTTCCCACTTAGCAGCATCTCTTAGAGCAGTGGTTCTCAACCTGTGGGTCGTGACCCATTTGAGGGGTCTCCTGCATATCAGCTATTTACATTACAATTCATAACAATAGCAAAATTACAGTCATGATGTAGCAACGAAAATAATTTTATGGTTGGAGGTCACCACAACATGAGGAACTATATTAAAGGGTCACGGCATTAGGAAGGTTGCGAACCACTTTCTTAGAGAGTGTTTTAGGACTTAACCACTGTTTTTAACAGATGCATAGTACTCTCAAAATAGGGGTATCTCACAGTTTACCTACCCATCCCCTATTGATTCCTAATTCCTGTTACAGAGACTCTAAAGGGTGGGGTTGACCTGAACAGGAGCTGAGCAGGCAGGTCTCAGGTCAGCACTGTTACTCTGTTACTACAAATAGTGTTTCATATATATGCATCCTTGCACATTCGTGGGAATCCATTTCTAGAATAAATTCCCAGAAATAGAATTCCTGGGTCAGAAGGTTTCTGGGGCCTTTAAAGTCTTCATAGATAACAACCTTCTAAGATCCAGTCTACACTGCTAACCTTAGGCTCATTTTTTCAGATCTCGTCAACACTCTGTATTATTGAACTTCTTAATATTTGCTTTTCAGTAGATGAAAATGATATCTTGTTTCATTCATAATAAATGAGAATTGATCAAGATATCATGTTAACATTTTTTTTTTTGAGACAAAGTCTCACTATGTCGCCCTCAGTACTCAGTAGAGTGCTGTGTCGTCACAGCTCATGGCAACCTCAAAGTCTTGGGCTTAAGCAGTTCTCTTTGCCTCAGCCTCCCAAGTAACTGGGACTACAGGCGCCTGCCACAGTGTCTGGCTATTTTTATTATTGTTGTTGTTGCAGTTGCTTAGCTGGCCCAGGTCAGGTTTGAACCCGCTACCTTCGGTGTATGTGACAGTTTTTGAAGACTGTGTGAGTCATTTGGGATCACAGCGTCAGTGCCAACAGTCCACACACACAGCAGAGTACACACCCCTCTGCCCACCCCCAGGCACGATACTCTTCTCAGAGGTAGTTCTGTGAGCCCCTGGGCTGTACTTGTTTCTGAATATGTGTGTACTAAAACAAGTTTGTCTTGTAGCTTTTAGACACATGTATATGTGTGTGCTTTTTGGCAGCTTGCTTTTTCCTCCAACACTAAGTCTTAGAAGTTTTCATGTGAGGTCAGGGCATTGTGCTCTCCATAGCTGCTGCCCAGTCTGCGTGGGTAAACATGAGCAGAGCCCAGTCTCTGCTCTCCTGGCCCAGTCTGCATGGGTGGATGCGGGCAGGGGCCAGTTTCTGCTCTCTCGGCCCAGTCTGCATGGGTAGACGTGAATAGAGGCCAGTCCCCTCTCTCCTGACCCAGTCTGCATGGGCAGGGGCTGGTCTCTGCTCTCCCAGCCCAGTCTGCATGGGTGGACGTGGGCAGGGGCTGGTCTCTGCTCTCCCAGCTCAGTCTGCATGTGTGGACGTGGGCAGGGGCTGGTCTCTGCTCTCCCAGCCCAGTCTGCATGGGTGGACGTGGGCGAGGGCCGGTCTCTGCTCTCCTGGCCCAGTCTGTGTAGTTACTAGCCTAGTCTGCATGGGTAGACGTGAGCAACAGCCAGTCTTTGCTCTCCCAGCCTCTTGGGTATGCGTCTTGGTGCTGTTGCCATGTGGCCAGGCTGGACCAGGGGAGGGGTTCACTGAGTGTTTGTGGATTAATTCCATTCATCCCTTTTCCCTTAATAGATGGTCTCCTAGCACATTCTCTAGGTCTAGCCAGTGCTGGGTGTGGGAGACGGGGAGATCCCTGCCCTCGGTTACTGGACGCTCAAGGCTCATGGTAGAGCACTGTATGAATGTCTTTGTGCAGGGCCATCATAGGCTGCCAGAGGGGAGGGACAGGAAGCAGAGCCCCCACCGGCAGGGTGGGTAAGCTTAGCCAGAAGGGGGCTAGAGAGGGAGGCCAGAATTAGAAGTACTCTTGACCCCCTCAGGGGAGTGGTGAGTGTGAGGGTTGGATGAGTGGGACCTCAGATTTCTGTGTCAGTTTCCCTGATGGGAGGTCCTTTCCTCTCCCACCAGGCAGAAAAGTCTAGTCTTTGCCAAAACAGAGCCAGACTCATTTGACATTGCGGGTAGAGGGCCTGGTCCAGGCCTGCTGCTGGTCCTTTTGCAGCATTGGGAGAGATTGGCAGAAGACACATGGCCAGGCTGGAAACAGTGGCTCACGCCTATAATCCTAGCAATCTGGGAGGCCAAGGTAGGAGGATCACTCAAGGTTAGGAGTTTGAGAACACCCTGAGCAAGAGCAAGACCCCATCTCTACCAAAAATAGAAAAAAATTAGCTGGGTATGGTAACATACAGCACACACCTATAGTAGTCCCAGCTGTTTTGAAGGCTGAGGCAGGAGGATTGCTCGAGCCCAGGAGTTTGAGGTTGTGGTAAGCTATCATGATGCCACTGCACTCTAGCCAGGGCCACAGAGACCATGTCTCAAGAAGGGAAGAAAAGGAAAGGAAAGAAAAGAAAAGAAAAGAAATGCAGCCAGGTGATTCAGTGATGGCTTCTCAGGCTAAGTGCACAGAACAGGTAGCCAAGGACAGCACTGAGGCCTGGGGTGGGCCTGCAGTGTACTGCTATAGGACCTCTCCGGAGCCCATGCCAGGCTCAAGGGACTGCAGAGAGGGAGGAGCAGGGGCAGGCCTCCCTGGGCAGAAGGGCCCAGGAAAGCAGGTACCAAAGCTGGGTGGTAGTGCTGCTGGGTGTCTCCCAACACCGTGGAAGCTAAGGGGTTGTTTCTAAACTTGTGGGACTACCGGCACAGGCCTGCATGGGCTGAAGCCAGGCTGCTTTGTCTGGTAAACTTCCCTATCTGGTAGTTGATTCAGAAACGTGATTCCCATAGTAACCAAGCCAGAGATGATTTTCCCTCCTTCCCCAGAATGTTTGCTTATTTTAGCACACGGGTTTTTTCTTGTTTCAACCCAGTTTCCAGTCTCCAAAAGAAGCAAAGGGAGCTGAGATCCAGGCTGGCATTGCCTCCTGTGTCTGAGGCTGGTATAGTGTGTGCAGTGGCTGTGGCCAGAGTTTGAGAGAGCAGAGGGGAAGTGTTGCCCTGCTGTGGCTGTGCACAGTGTCTCATCCACAGCTGCTCTGCACCCTGGGGGGTTTGCCTGCTGTTCAGGTAGGCAGTCCCAGAGCCCTGGGTCACTGAGAAGAGCACAGATTTGGGGCACATCTCAGCTCTAAACCATACCACCCCTCACTTGACTCTCACAGGCATTGGCTGACATAGGCAGGTGATCCCAACAGGTGAACAGCAGCTCTTGGCACATGTCCCACTGCCACACAACTTACCCTATGACCAGAAATTGTGCTTCCACAGAGGCCTTGGGACTCATCAGTGAATCCCAGTATCCCTCAACTGATCCCAGAGGCCAATGCTGGGATGTGACAGAAGCAGGGGCCAGGGGGATCCCAATTAACACTTGGCCAGGGCCCTCCAGAAGCCCAAGGCCCTGCCCTGGCTTGAGTCAAGCAGTTTGAGTTGTGGAGAGCAGCCACAGCAGATGTGCCGACCACACAGGCCCCTTCCATGCAGCCTGGCCCCTCAGGGGATGCCTAAGGATGCTGGACATGTTCCCGCGGCTCTAGTCCCTGCCGTAGGGCACTGTACTGTCTGCCAGTGTAGACGTCTGCCCTCGTTCCAATGGAAGAGTGGTTGTTAGTTCTCTACTGTTACAGAAACTGCTTTTTCTGGTCTCCTTCCTCGCCCAAAGTCTCCAGATCAGATGCCTAAAGGTGGAGGCTGGGACAC